TGGTAATGGAACCAAAGGCTACTCATTTGATGCTTGCTACTTACTAGTTGAATGACGCATAATGCCACACTGCAAATTACTAAAAAAAAGAAGGGAAAGAGAAAGCTTTTCAATAATAGGAGAAGATTCGAATTTCAAAGAGATGAGAAGAAAGAGGGGCCAGGTAGGCAAATTCGACCTTGTATCCATCATGCACTTGTATTTTTACCCATCTTGTCCTTATAAACTTGTGATCTTTCAATGGCACCTTGGATTGCCTAATGGTGATTCCCTAATCTACTCTTGCATCTTAACTCATCTTCCTTGTATCTACACTCAAATATGTGCTCATCATACTTGCATAAGCCAACACTTACATCAATTTGCTGGAAACCAACTTGGCCTAATCGACCACAAATATACTTTCATGAACATATGGGCCCACACCAGGTACCTACCTACTAACACCCATGGACATGTTTGGATGTAACCATCCCTGTGCTGACCCACCTTTGCATTACTGCATTGCATAAATTGTACTTTCTATTTTAAACAAGATCTCTCAATATATGCTAGTGGATTGTTAAGCTTTTCATTCATGAAAGGTGAAGTTGACACATTTCCTTGTTTCATGAGAAGTGCAATTATTGTTTACCTTGCTATACACTATCTTGATTTTAAACCTAATGTGCCAACACCTATGGGTGGTTTGGTGATGCATTCTTGAAATTATCAACACAATGCAACATATATTAAGACATATTATATTTATCTAGTAATTTATTTTCTACATAGTTATCATTACAGTTTGAGAGGTAAAACATTATTGAATTACCTTGGATTTTATAACTACCCACTCTTTTAAAACTTAGATTCATTAACCTAAAGTTCATGTATGAGATAAATCTGATTATTTATCAAAGATGTGGATATTATGTCATAATAATTCGGTCAATTTTATTTATCAATTTATTAATACTTTTAAAAATGAGTTATTATTTGTACATCAATGCCTATTGTCACTATGGTGTAGATACTTATGACTATGTTGTAGATACTTGAAATATAAGTGTTGATATTTGAATCATGTGTCATCAATTCTCAATGAAATGAAACCTAGAAATAGCAAGAGCACGCCCATAGGTCTTAGGTGTCAACCTTTGTTTGACATTCATGAAGTCATAGACAACAAGAATACATGAAATGGCTGTTATTTTTTAGGCAGTGAGAGGAGTGGGGCATTTTACAATGGATATTGCATTTTATAAAGTATATGACAAAGGACTAAGAGCTGGAATACATCTAAAGAGGAGGAGGTAAGTAGAATTTTTGAGAAATTTCATGATTGAGCGTGTTGAATTCGTGTAAGATTCTACTATGGTCTGTTTTTGATTTTGTGTTAGATGTGGACAAAAATGCAACACTAGTATAAATAAATTATGAGAGCCACAGATCGATGAATATGTAAACAGAATAAATAATGTCAACAAGTAGGAAGATTAAATGTTGTACTTTGATATAAAATGACAACATAAATATGCATATGTAGATGGACATAGGCATTTTCCTCCACATAAAGATTAAGTAAATGTAGAGTGGCTTAGCCCACAAACTTACATCCACTGGCAAAATAGCTCATTAGTTCTTCAATTGTTATTAATCTCCTTGAAGGACAGAACTCTTACACAATCATTGACTTAGTCACCAAATAGTTGTTGGTACTATCAATCACTCTAGTTCATACAAAACTAGCAGCCAAATTAATAATGGGCAATCACTCCAACTATTTTGACTCCATCAGACTGGAAGTGTCTTGAATAACTATTACTCTAGTGACTTTGTGGGTCTGATATACTTTACATCTCAAGATGTTACCAAACTCACATGTAAAACACACTCTTCAATTCACCATAACGTGTCTACTCAATGGAAATAATACAATCATATAATTCATAAATTAAGTTGTCTAATGCTACCACAAAGCTTTCAATTCAAAAAATTGCTGAACGTGAGAATTCCTTTGTCCTTGTGTTTGTTTAATTCAAAAAGCTACTAATATGCCCTACTTGGTGTAATTACACCAAAATAAGCCCATTTATATGACTAGATCAAGGTACGAAAAGAAAAATTGTACTGAGCTCTGGTTGAACTGAGGAGGCGTTTTTTTTATTATTTATTTTATTTTTTATTTTTTTTAACTGAGGAGGCGTTTAGCTTCATAGGGATTTGAAGTCTCTTCTCAAACCCAATGGATTAGAAGGAGCATTGAAAAACAGTTATGGGCCTTAATTGAGTCCGCTACTGGTGGCCCGACCCGCTGACACTCTTATACATAAACACATATTCGCATGAAAAAATACAGTGAGGGAGTACAGCTGGGAGAGGGACCAGACCAGATGCCCATGATGACTGTTAGCCTCCATGTTGTACCGTGCTCCCGTGTAATCTCCACGTGCGCCCATCAACATGTTTGTACAGTTTCTTGTGATTCAAATTTGAATTCACCCGTTTTCAGACTGACATGTCGTAGATCTTTTTCTGAATCGGTAGAGAGAGAGAGAGAGAGAGATAGAATTTGTACTCAACACTCTGAGCTTAATGATGAGAGAGAAATGCAAGAGCAGTGAGAGAGGTAAAGTAAAGGGTGAGAGAGAAACTTGTAAAGAATAGAAATAGAAATCGCAGTCTGCCGAACTTTTTTCGTCTTGTCAACATCATGCCCATTTTCCCCTCTCTCTCCATCTCTATATCTTTCTCCTCTTTCCTGGCAGCGCCAGCACTTTTCTATTGTGCACCAGCAGAGGAAAGACAGGGCGGAATGGGACTGGACGGGAAGTGCGGGCGTGAAGATAGAGAGGGAGTGGTAAAAAGATGATAGGCTTCCTTCCAGTTCGCCGGCGTGGTTGAATTTAGATAGCGTGTACCGCAGGTGCAATTGCAGCTCCTCTGCGGCCGTGGCTGCATGCATAGGCCAGTACAGAGCAAAAGCGGCTGTGGACCAGGATAGGCACCTACTGCTGTAGTTACACTCTGCACAGTCTTGAGACCTCAATCTCATATCCTCTCTCTCTCGTGTTCTTCGTCTTTTTCCTCTATCCGCCACTCTGTGCGTAATCAGCCACAATCCCCTATCTGCTCTCGCTTGTGTTCTTCGTCTTTTTCCTCCATCCTACACTCTGGACGTAATCAGCCATTCTGGTCCCTTCTCTCTCTCTCTCTCTCTCTCTCTCTCTCTCTCTTCCGGACCTCTCTTTTATCTAATCTAGCGTCTCTCTCTGTGTTCTCATTTTCATCTGTGCAGAAGCGAAGTTGGGTTTCAGAGAAATTACTGTAAAAGTGGTGTTCTTCTCGTTGCTCGTGCCGGCAGCTGAAGGCCTCACTTATTCATTGCAAACAGTGATTTAAGACATCCTCCGCTCTCTCTCTCTCTTTACAGTGAATTAACAGTGAATTAACAGTGGAAGCTGTTTAACTTCTACCGGGGTCCAAAGTGAAGGCACTAAGGCTTTCCAGTGGAGCAAAGTGGGTTTTTTGCGTAGAGTTGAGCAGGCTGATACTTCCGGTACTTACGGGATAGCGAATGCAGCGCCAGCGTGAAAAGTAGATAGATCGTGAACTTTAAAGAGCTCCTCATCATCTGTGTTATCGTTTTCAGCCCTACGGGATCTACGCGAGTTCTCAGGCCTGTATCTCTCTATCTCTTTCTATTTCTGTTAATAAATCTATAGCGTAGTAGCTCAAAGAGACAGTCTTAGTGCCTTGTATTAACGAGATCTCAAAGAGTCATTCTCTTTCTGTTGTGCACCAGCTCGCCGTTTTTCATCTCTCTTTCAGTGAGGGAGATTGAAGGAGACCCTCTCCTCTATCTCTCTCTCTCTCCCGCTCTCGTCTCTGTGACAGACGCGAGAGTAGACGAAGACTATGAAAGGGGACGGGAGGACTCCGGACTGTCGGGACTGTCGACGAGCATCGGAACTGGATACACTTTATCTTTCTTGAAAATAACCTGAAAACCATGCCACTGTACACTCACTATGATCGACTAAAGTAGAGAGAGAGAGAGAGATGTCCACTCACAACCGGGTTTGACGTCTGATTGAAGCTGCATCTAACGTTACCAATTCATTCAAGAAACCCCGTACTCCGCACTCCTTTAGGATAGAAGTAATTAATCTCATACGACCCCGTACTCTGCTGCCACTGTGTTATGTTTCCCTGGATATTGCAGGAGACACGGAAACGAGCTCATTTTAAACCTGATGAAACAATCAGAAGCCCACCTATTGCCTTAACTGATTCATCGGGTGCTTACGTCAGAAAAATTGTTTCATGGGAACAGTAAGATACTAATCGGACAAATGCGTCGATTAATTATTTTATAATCATGCTACATTTTCAAGTTTCCTTTTCAAGGCGTTTTCTCCTACCACTTTAAGAGAATACCTTACAAATATATATTTGAATATCGTAAGTAATTATGGAAACGAAGGGCAAATTTATTGGTTCTGGTGCTCCTATGTATATGTTTTACAAATAATTTCTAGATAAGGCAAAGCTGAAATATTATTTTGGATGAAAAAGTGCAGAATCCTATTTTATCATTTAGGAAAAGTTTATTTGGCGTTGGGTTCGGTTTCCTACCTGACCCAGCTCAGTAGAAGTGACTTATGAGGGTTATCCGACAAGCCGGAGTGGTAGGGCGGCGAAAGAGCGACATAGCTTGTAGAAAATATATTTTTTTTACTAAAAATAATTTATTAATAATCATCCTTACCAGGCGATGGGGGGAGAAGTCACTTCCAAAATTCCCCCCCCTGAAGGTAGGCGGTGTGAACTGATGCTGTCCACATTCGTCCGAGCTCTTATCTTCTACATCGCACCCCCCGGTATCCATCGTATTCCTTTCCTTCTCGACTCGATAATTATTCCGCCGAGCGACATCAAGAGAGATAGCGAGAGAGCGAGAGAGAGAGAGAGGGCTGAAGGAATAGAGGGAATCGGTGGGCATTGGGGAAGTTGGCATGGATTTCGATGACCATGACAACCCAGAGCAGATTGGCGGTGGAGGAGCGGATTCTAGCGCTGCGGCGGTGGCAGGAACGAGCGGTAGCTGGAGAGCTGCGACTGGAGCTGGGAGTGGCGGCGGTGGCGGCGGGGTTAGGTACAGAGAGTGTCTGAAGAACCATGCCGTCAACATCGGCGGCCACGCTGTGGACGGCTGCGGGGAGTTCATGCCCGCCGGCGAGGAGGGCACCATGGATGCCCTCAAGTGCGCCGCCTGCAACTGCCACCGCAATTTCCACCGGAAGGAGATCGAGGGTCAGCAGTTATCGCCATACTATCGCTTCCCGGCTTCTGGGTACCTCCAGATGGCGGCGCCGGGGGCGGCGGTGCAGATGAGGCCGTTGGCGTTGCCGTCAACTTCCGGCCGGGGAGGGACCCACAGCAGGGACCAGGACGATATGTCAACACCCATGGTCAGCGGCGGTGGCGGCGGCGGCGGGAGCACCTCCTCAGGGGGAAGAGAAGGAAAGAAGAGATTTCGGACCAAGTTTACGCAAGAGCAGAAGGAAAAGATGCTGGCTTTTGCGGAGAAGGTGGGGTGGAGAATCCAGAAGCACGACGAGGCGGCGGTTCAACAGTTCTGTACGGAGGCCGCCGTCAAGCGCCATGTACTCAAGGTGTGGATGCACAACAACAAGCACACCCTCGGTACGAAGCCTTCGTCGGCTGAGCCCTGACCAACATCTCTCCTTATCTCCTCTCCCTCTCCCTCTCCCTCTCCCTCCCTCTCCTTAGGCGAGAAAAGCCACATCTCGTTCTCCTGGACGAGCACATAGCCGCCGGGTAAACGCTGATCTCCCTCTCTCTCTCTCTCTCTGAACGACTTGGAAGCCCAAGTTACATATTGGGAGTTGAGCCCTAATGGCTGAGGAACGGGTTTAGGGTTTTAGTCCATTCAATTCTTTCTTACTATTTTCTTGGATCCTTTGTTGGGTACCACTGAGTTCTTCCGCGTCTCATGATGTTTGGTCTGGCTATTTTCATAGGGTGTAGACAAATGGAGATTATCTTAGGATGTTCGTATGGATTATATTTTAACTGAATTTGATGGGCTGGTGGTTGATTGGAGCATTGATTTTCTTGTGATTCTGTGGATGTACCAGTACGTCTCAGACTGAGATAAAATCACTTTCTTGGGCATCCAATGGGTCGAATCTTCGAGTACGACCTCCGAAAATTTTGCCATATCTCAGAAGATTTCGTCTTTATAGAGCGGTTCTGAATCGAATGGGCGACCCAGTGCGTGCGAATACAAATGGGCGAAACTAGTACAAAGAAAACTACTCACAAGAGGTGAAATTTGAAAGAAAGGACATTTCCATCATGGAGCTCCTTGAATATCGTTCTCCACTTCACCCTAGGATCTCTTTCTGGTTCTATATCTGTTGACATCTGTGGAGTTTTGACAAAATGACCATTAAGTTCCCCGCTGGGCTCAGCCAAACGTGTCCGCCATGCAGCAGCTTCCTTTAGCGTTTTCCTGTCCATCTCTCTTCCGCATTCTATGCCGGTGTTACAGATGTCGTACTTAGTTGGAGGCTTCGTGAGGACTGCTCTATGCATGAGATAAAGGTGCATGTCTGTGAGGGAAAGAGAAAAACTGCGATAAAATACGACTGTGTTTGCGTCAGAGAGAAATGAGGAGAAAGTGATGCTGTATGCGTGAAGCACAGAGGAGAAGAAAGAGACTCTAACAAGGATATAGGTTGGGCGAAACAGGTACGTACCTGTGATTTATGTCGCACACCTCCCATGCTTCGCCTTTCGGAGGATAATTAAATGTTCTCTCTCTACCCTTCTCGTCTCAAAACCGCGTTTGGCCAAACTTTCAGGTATAGAAATCTTGCTTGTAAGGCTGTTAGTATTGCCCACAAAAACGGAGAAGAATAAGATGAAAGGGTGCGGAGGAACGCACCGGCAACCAGTGTGGCGACCTTAGAAGCTACTCCGCATGCCTTGGCCCCGTTCCATCAATCCTGTTGGACCTGTTCCTCACAGCTCTTCCCCCGTTCTTGGCCAGTGACGTCTTGGAATAGTCATTTTTGAAAGATAGTAGTTGATATCGTAACCCGCTAGATCATACACATGGGTGAATATCTGACATTTTATGAATGCTACGTCTATTAAGTCAGCATCAGACATTCCAAGATTACAATCGAGGAAGCTTTGACTACCTTCTTGTTTGTTCTATTTACTAATCTTTCTATTTGGGATTAACTGGGTGATAACACGGGAATGATCAGACATAATCAAGGCTTTATTTGATGAGGAAGTGTTGTTATGAAGATTTATTATCCTGTTAAAACGGGATTAAGTGCAATAGCACCAGATGATTACAATTTGATAGATTTAAATTCTATAAATTTCTGAAGACAATACGGCATAGCTGTCTGATACATAGATTGGTCCCATTCATATTGTTAAGCTCCCAATTCTCCCTTTCCCGGAGTTTTTCGCAGCATTATGTCCCGATGAACAAGACTATGCCTTTACACTGCTCTTGTTTATAGTTTTGCCCCAAAGTAGCGTTGCGATTTACAGATTGGGTTGGTTATTCAGTCTTGCAGAATTGGTCACTGCTGTCACTTGGAAGTCAACCCTTTCCTCTTCAGGTTGGGCGATGGAAGCTCCACAGACTTTTATTATCTCAGGAAAGAGATGCATGGCGATGTGGTGTAGTAGGCAAGGGATAAAGTAGAGAACTAAAAGAAAAATCTTCTAGATGATTTCCTTCCTTCTTGGAGACATCTGTATCAAATGGGTTCAATATTGAACGTTAGAAACTGTCGAGATGTTCCATGAAGGTCGATCGTCATAGCAGGCATAACAACACAGTACAAGTGTTTACTGCTCTAGATAAAGGTGTGGTGCTGTTTTGTTGGGATAGGCCCCACTCTATGAACGTAGGTTAGCTTCAAACTAAGATTTCCCTCGAGGACACGACTCTCGGAAATCATTTTTCGGTGCGGGTGGACTCCTCATTTAAACCTAGGTTAAGAACGAAGGAAGGTTTGCCCATTCATATCAAGTACGGATTTTCTTGTGCAGGTGGATCTGAAAAAATGAGTGATCTTTTGCCAACGATATGTTTGTCTACATAATGAAGTTGGGCTTTCCTAGCAAGGGATATTCTATCGAAAGGTACGCCAACTCAAGGGGAATGTTTTCATTTCATCATCCAAAACTAAGTCAATTATTAACATCTTTACAAATTGTCCTCAAAGCCAGTAGTTTATATTCAAAAAAAAGGTTTGAGTCCTAGTGGCATTGTTTCTATTTTGAGATGCAAACATGCAAATATCGCCATGTTTTTTGAAGCTTCAAAGATCCTGAAACCCTATCGACAGTTGTCTTGAATCAACCATTTAGTCTGAACAGTTCACAATCGAACGAAAAGTTGAGGGAGGAAACCGAATCAGTCATCTTTTCTGTAACGGGTAAAGATAGAAATTGATTTGATGCAATGAATGACTAATTACTGCCAAGCTGCAAAACTCTTCTCAAATTTCTTCACTTAATCTATTAAAGTGACCTTCTTGTATTTTTTTTGTCTTCTAGGTTTCGCTCCTCTTACATCCTTGAAATTTATGATATGATGTTTTGTGTTAATTATGATTTCTTTATTGAGATATGATGCTTGGTATATTTTTTATTTCACAGTATAATTCTCATATATTAAATTTAATATGTATATATGGAATTTATGTATTTGGCCTTAGTGTTTTACAGTCTACATTACATTTATTAAGATATTAACCTTGATGTACTCCATTAGTGGAGAACATACTCCATATATACTGACATATTGACTTAAAAGTTTCCTTGTTATGAAATTAAACTTCTCATATTTTCCAAAATTAAGCTTAATATACTATGCAGTTCCACAATGTTTTTATGTGCACTGAAGTATTGTATTTGATATGCCACGTTATTTATGTACCTTCTAAAATTTAATATTTATGATATGTAAAATAAATTTTAATTGCTAAATTATTAATCTTGATATAGTTTTTATTTCACAACAAAACTTGTTATGGATAGAGATGTATCTTAATATAGTGTGCTATTATGTAACATAACTTCAAATGAAATGTTAACTATGATATCTTGTGAATTCTACAATAAACTTCGTATGATGAAATATGAACCTTGATATGCACTAGTAGTGTAAGTTTATAGGATTGAATGACCCCAAGACAACTAATGTAATCTGGATGGTCTTGCATAGACTAAGTCATGATTTATACTAAATTGTGATTTCTAATTCCATTCATAATACTTTTTGAGATTAAATATCCTAAATCTATTCACAAATAAATCAATGGTTTGCTTATGTCCTGTATTTAAGCATGTAATGATATTAGAGTGAATATGGTTTTACCAGTGATGTGGGACCATTTGCACATGATTATGATATGTAATCTAATTGAATGATTAGATCAACTACTTTTATTTTATGCAGTAAAAAAAGGTAATGTAAATGATTTGTGAGAAGACATCAAATGGATAAACTAAATACACAGATTTTAGAGTTGCTTTGCCTCCCATTCACCTTTACTATCTCAAGAACTCCTATTCCTTGGGTTTCACTAATCTTTCTATAGGATGATGCCCCAAGTACTAACATACATAGAGGCCGGATAAATATCAATACTATCAACTACTATAGTCCTCATAACACTAGCAACTAGATTATTTCAAGGTTATCAATCCCTCACTAACCTACTAGCCTCAATGTACTATACAATCTACAATGGTATTGTCACTTATAATCTTCCCCAGAGATTATTACCAAGTCATTTTTATAGGTCAATTAAACTTTTGATTCTTGTTATGATGAACAGTAAGATTATAATAGTAAGAAGAATCCCAAAAGCTCTTGTCTAAGAAAGCAAGTGGACTCCTTTATATGAAGAAAATTTAATAGTCTTCATGGCAAAAATATCACTTCAAGTAGGTAAGTTGACTCATTAGGCAAGAAAAGCCTCCATTAATAATGAATGAAGTTGTGAATTAGACTAAGTTAGTCTTCACTCATTAAGATCTAAATTGTTACACTTGGTTCATATTTTTTTTAGTATGTGCTATATGTGTAAAATATTAAAAATAATAATTGACGAAAAAACACACAAGAAAACTGATAAATAGAAAGAAACAATAAATATTTTAAAAAGAAAAAATTGCCTCAAGCCCTAGATAAGTTGAATTGATGGGTCTACACAATTGTCACAAGATGAAATTGAGGTGAGAGAACCTCATCCTAAAAGATTTAGTATGCCAAGAAATAGGTTGACCCAACAATCAATAAGTCAAAAGAGAGTAAAAGAAAACAAGATTCTCTTCGTGATCCCACAACTCAGAAAACCCATATTCATACATATTGACATATGGTATAGAATGTCTAACCATCTTACATCAAATCCTAACATGTCAAAAGATCAAAAAAACTTAGGAAATCTCTTGCTAACACATCTGTAGAATGATCTAGTAAAAAACTAGTCAATCAAGCATGTTGGCTACATAGATTGTTCTATATGTTGATATAGGCATCAAAAATAATATTTTCAACTGATCAAATCTTAATCATTTGAATTGTTACTATTGATTTTGGGTTCTATAAGTAGCTCCTCTTAAGATATTTTAAACATCACATCAAATATATCAATCATACTAAAAATTCATATTCTCTTTTTGACATAAGTGCAACTACACATAGTTTCTCAAGCATCAAAAATCTACCTACTGAAGTACATTCACTCAGAAAGAAGATTCATTTGTTAGGATTATATCACAATTCATACAAGAGAAGGCACTCATGGAAATGTTAGTAACAAGTGAAAAGGCAGGCTTGTACTTTGAAGTATAGTGTTGGGAGATAGATATACAAATTCTACTTCATAAGGAGATTTAATAGCCTCGTGAATTTTAAATTTTATTCTCTTAGAGATAATAGTAGTAACCAATGTTAATAACCTTTCATAAGTGGACATAGACTAGGTAAGATTAAACCACTACAAAAGAATAATCTTTTGATAATAGTTGAATAGTGTACCAACCCAATGAGTTGACCTAACATATGTGAATGTGCTAAATTCAAATAATGAAAAATGGTGAAAAGCTCGAGATAATCAAATAAATATTTTCAAAACTTGTTCGCCCTCTCCAACCCTCAGCATTCTATCCAAGCTATTTTGGAACTAGTAGGTATGGTGTTCTTTTGCCACTTCTTTTGTTTTTAAGAATTATTCAAATCTTGGACATTGTAGAATTCTTTTGGTCATCATCATATGAATTGTAATCCGAATTATCAGCATGATTATAAGCTATATAAGAAAATAAAATTTTCTTCTAAAAACTTAATTTCTGGTTATAACATTGGACAGTAGGCCCTTAAGGAATCAAGTAGTTCTTAAATACATGATTTTTTAAAATATTTCTCTACCAAAATATTTGTTGCTTTTGTTTTCCATTTAAGTTTTAAGGACCATATCTTTTAAATTTTCCTAGACTTTTTTGTACCTTTTTTAAAGATTCATCAAATTTTTAATATTTTTTATGAAGCAAGTAAATTAGTCTACAATGCATTCATTTTCAAGCATCCAATGTAATTGATATGTATATGAACTAAAAGATCACTTTTTGAATCTTTTTAGTATGACAATGCTTCATATGTAGCTTCTTATTCATTATACATTTTCTTAGCACTTTTGCATATACATATGTTATTGAGCGCATCTGCATTTGGAGCACAATGAAGAATGTTATTGACTTTTGTATTGAATATCAACTATTTTGTTTCATTTTTGGAAGATTTTAAGTTTTCATTTTGTAGAGCTTCTACACAACCACCATGATATTGTAAGCATCATAACTAAAATTGTGAATGTAAGTTCTCACCATAGTTTTCCAATAGGAGAGTCATTAAAAAGAGGTGGTTTATTGGTGGAATGCCCTTTATAAAAAATTCTTCCAAGATTAACTATTTTAATCTAATCATTAGAGAGTTGTAATTTTAGCAATTATAGGTTGGGTTCAATATCAACTTTTGAACAATGAACTTTCTAGAATAAACATTTGATTGCAAAGGGGCATTCTCATTCATTCATCTGGTTTCCCTGATATTTTTATCTTTAATTTCAAATAATCTTTAGTAAACATTATCTTAATGTTTTTTGTGAAATACCACCGTGGAGTAAAATTTTAATTTATCATGTATCCAGATCATGCTTGAAAAATAATTACATGATGTCGACTCTGAGGGAAAGCTATAATATAATCATTTCCTAATGTCCAAGATGGAAAATAGAGGAGGGTTGTCATCCTAGTGGCCATGAGAACAAACAAGGTGCTGATGTAGAAGTGCCTCCAGAAAGGAGTCACTACTCGTCCTCACGTCAGCTACAAAGAAAAGTAGGTGGAACGGGGTGCCGCTGTGGGCGTACTTCTAGCAGGACATGCTTCTGAGGTATGCCAAGCTATCCTCCATCCAGCCAAAAGGAGAAGAGGAAGTGCCATCCTCTCAATGGCCGCAAGAAGAAACGAGATTATGTTGTGGGCGTGCGTCTCCTCAATCTTTTCTGGGGAATATTTTCAGCAAAAAACATATCTAGAGTGGGTAAATAGACTTTTCCCTCAATTTCGAATTAACCACTCTAATATAGGATTTCATTTAGTATGGTCTACTTTTTATTTTTATATCATAAGAACAAGCTTACTCCTTGAATTACATGACTTCTATAAGTTGAAACCTGTCGGATCTAGCTCTAGATACCTGGCTGCGAACATTTTGCTCTGGCTTAAATGGGTTTAGCTCTTAGATAGCTATCATCAATATCGTACCAGTTCAGATCTAACAGATTCACATCTAGGATGACTAAGAGGCTACATAGTGGGGATACAAAGAACAACTTTGGCATGGCATCACTCATAAGTATCACCTTTGATGAAAAATCATCCTGGCAACCCTGTCGCTGGGGAAGCAACACTTGACCACTTGCGTGGAGATCAATTATCGAAAATTCTGAAGTATTCATGAGCTTTCCTAGCTTAACTGGAGTTTTCTACCCAAACCTTAAGTTTAGAACTTTTTAGGCTCAGTATTTGGCATGAATTTTAAGTGTGACATTTAGGGACTACTGAAATGTCATCCCAAAGTTTGAGGTTAGTGAAGTACAGTTTTCATTCGAGGTTTGTCCCAGCCGTAAGCGTGGAGAGAGTCTCAGTAAGAGGTCTGCACACAGGGTTGGAGGCCTCGATCTCCATCGTATCTTCTTCTATCTGTCCTCCCTCTCCCTTCTGCACATCTTCCGGTCCTCCCTCTCTCTTCTTCGGCACCTCTTCGCGTCCTCCATCTCGCTTCTTAAACACATTTTCTGGTCCTCCCTTTCTCTTCTTCTGCACCTTTCCCGTCTTTCCTCTCGCTTCTTCTGCACCTCTTCCCGTCCTCCCTCTCGCTTCTTCTGCACCTCCCCCCGTCCTCTCCGCCCCTCCCTGCACCACTTATTGCACATCATGTCTCCCTCTGTGACCACCATCCATCCCAGTACTTATCTTGTATGGCGATCATCTCGTCTGGCACACATCTCCGCTGGAAGGCCTGCTTCTGCAGCAACAGTATCCATGGCGATCATTCTTCAGCCATGGTAGATGATCACACACCCACCAGTAGAAGCATCGTCTCGCTGACACATTTAATCATGCATTTACCAACACCTCGTCAGGTGATGCACCTCTTCTGCAGCAATCCTATTGACACGTTCTTTGAAAAACACCTACCCCTTTGACCAGATATTTGCTACTCTAATTAATGGTTGAAATTGTTGGCGCTGTAGTCCCTACCTGCTTCTCGCTGAAGACCTAGAGGCCCTGGAAGAAGAACCAAGAAAAGGGGAAAAGAGGAGAGGCACCCATTTTTCAAAAAACTTTAGAAGAACACACATAAAACTCACGGTCCCTTTTTTTGGTTCTTGTAGAACCCAAAGACAACTGAAAAATAACTACAGAATGTGAGCCAACACAGATGGCATCATCACCCTATTCGGAGGAAAAACAAACAGACAAAATTTAAGAAAAACACTGTGAGACTCGTTCGTAAGAAAACCACCCTAAAAACTCTACCGTCCGTCCATGTGCGGAGGAGAGAGCGAGATCAGCACCTTCATTCTCCTCCTTGATCTTGCTCCTTTCCTCCAACACAGCTAAGTCCCAGCTTCACACGCATTTCAATGAACTTGAGACGCCCCAAGGCTTTAGTGAAACCATCAGCCAGTTGCTCCTCCGTCTTCACATAGTCTAGCTCAATCAACTTTTGTTCCAGGCAGGAACGAATAAAATGATAGCATGTATCAATGTGCTTGGAATGACTATGATGAATTGGATTCTTGCTGAGATCAATGGCAGACTTATTATCAACTTTCAATGTAACTTGCTTCACCATTTCTCCCTTCAATTCAGCAATGAAATGACTCATCCAGATTCCTTAGCTTCACAGGTTGACAACGCCTAGATCTTTTGCTTTTGTGATGTCCAGCTGATTGCCATGGAACCATAAAAGAACACATAGCCCATAGTGCTCTTCTGATCTTCTACATCCCCAGCATAATCACTGTTTGTGTAGCCGATCAATTGTGCTGCAACTTGACCCTTCTCATAAACCAACCCATAGTCCAAGGTCCGAGTGATGTACCTTAGGACTCTCTTCAATCCCATCATATGTTCAGATGTCGGATGCTCCATAAATCTGCTTAGAAAACCGACACTAAACACCAGGTCAGGGTGGGTATGAGTTAAATACCTGAGACTCTCAATCAAGCTTTGATAGAGCATGGAGTCAATAGTTGAATATGGTCCATTCTTTACAAACTTCAGTCGTGCCTCCATAGGAGTATGAGCAGAATTGCAATTCATCATGTTGAATTGCTCAAGAATCTTCACCACATAGGCCCTTTGATTAAGAGAAATCTCACATTTCTCTTGAATAACTTCAATGCCCAAGTAAGAATTGAGAAGCCCTAGATTGCTCATCTCAAACAACTTCATTATCTTTGCTTTGAACTCTTGAATGTGAACAGGATTAGAACTTGTCACAATCAAGTCATCAACATGGATGCCTATGAGTAAGTGAGAATCACCTTCCTTCTTGAAATATACAACATGCTCATGTTCACTCCTCTTAAAGTCGAGAGAGGATAAACATTTATCCAACTTGAATACCAAGCTCTTGGTGCTTGCTTGAGCCATAAAGCGACTTCTTCAGTCTGAAAACACAATGCTCTTTCCCTTTCACAATAAAATCATCAGGTTGCTTCATATAAGTCTCCTCTTCAATTTCACCATTTAGGAAAGCAGATTTTACATCTATATGATGTAATTCTCATCTATCTTGTGCTGCAAGGGCCACCAGTGCTCAGATAGATTCAAACTTAGCAACTGGAGCAATCACTTCTTCATAGTCAATACCATATCTCTAAGAGTAACCTTTCACCACCAAATGAGCTTTGTGACATGTCACTTCTCCCCTGGAATTCTTCTTACTTTTGAACACCCATTTGAGCCCAATGGGTCTGCAATCAGTAGGTGGAGAAATCAGCTCCAAAGTCCCACTTTTCTTAATGGCTTCCAACTTTTCTTTCATAGCCTTTATCCACACTTCATCTTCAGAGGCTTCAAGATATGTAGCTAGTTCTTCTTGGGAGGACAAACAAACATCTATGCCATATGACACTAGATCAGCCTCATCATAAATATCTTGAAGTGACCTAAACCTCCTTTATTGATCTCCTTCTTGAGAAGAAGAGATTTCTTCAGAAATTTATCTATGCTCTCCATCTTCTCTTGTAGCAGATTCTCCTTGAATAGGCGGCTCCTGGTCCAAATCATCAACCATTAGGTCAAAGAGGGTGGAAAAACGAAATGGACCTTCATCATCAGTATCTTCATTGGCCTTCCAATCCCATTTGCTTCCTTCTTCAAAGAGAACATCCTTGCTGATATGGAGTTTCATGGTTAGAGGATCATAGCACCTATAAGATTTAGTGTCCTTCTCATAACCTATGAAAACCATGGGTTTACTCTTATCATCCAACTTCTTTAGCCTTTCTCTAGTGGCCTTGACGTGCACAATTGAGTCAAAAATCCTCAGATGATCAACACAAGGTTTCCTCCTAATCCACTTCTCATATGATATGGTTCCTTGCAAGCTTTTAGTAGGTGACCTATTCAAAATATAAACACGTGTTAACAACTTCACCCCACAGCTCCAAAGGTATTTCTTTTTTCTTAATCATGCTCCTGACCATGGACATAATAGTCTTATTCTTTCTTTCTCAACCATGGACTTCAAAATCCTAAAATTCAAATGCCCAAAACACCGATGCTAGAGCCAAATCATCTCATCTTCTTCCTTGGTCAATAGGCAGGACTTTATCACATTCAATTTCAAATAAGAAAGCCAGCCAAAAGACCTGCATACCTTAGTCAAGGGCTTTCCATGAGGATCATAAATACCCAAGAATCCACCTTGCAACCTCATGCTGCAACCATCCTCATCCAGCTGTCTAAGACTCAAGATATTCACATATAGTTGAGGCATGTATAAGACATTCTTCAGCTCAAATTCTTGTCCATTGGAGCACTTCACAAGGGTAGACCCTTCACCACAAAGTTATCCACTCTTGAACCATTACTGAATTTCACACATCTGCCTCAACTCTCATCCAAGCGATTGAAGAGATCTTTCCTTCCTATCATGTGACTGGTGGCACTTGTGTCAAGGAACCATAAATCATTGGCCAAGACAGTAACATCTAGGCTTTGGAGAAGAAAATTTTTGACCTCCTCTAAAAATACTATAAGTAGTGTTGATTCATTCTTTTCTTCCAAGGTGACAAGATTCATCTTCTTGTCCTTCTCTTTCTTCTTCTTCCCATTGCGACATTCAAAAGCAAAATGACTAAATTTTTGACAATTATAACATTTCAGCATGGACTTGTCAAAGGGTCATTGATAAGTCTTCATTATCATGAGTTAATAAATAGTAAATAGTATAGTTTTAGCCTTAACTCATGATAAATAAACTTATATTTGTGTTAAAGTGTGAAAAGTAGTTTTCAGTTGATTAACGTAATTTTTTGGATAATTATGTGATTTTATATAATTTTTACAATCTTACTTTTGAGATAAATGAAGAATAAGAAATAAGAAATAAAAATATTATAAAATAGGGGGACCCGCCGGCCAGCTAGGCCCGCAAGCGGGTCAAAAGCGTAGTTAGGGAGTAGCTACAAGCAGGGGCTCGAGTGGCTTGGCTTAGACCGATAGTGGCACATGTACGTCACTCCCCTTCTACATCACTGGTGGCCAACAGGCTATAGGGCAAGGAGTGGTCGTACACACGAGAGAAGGGACTTTACTTAGATAGCTAACATTACTATATATTCACTTGAAAAATTGGCAGACAACCGATGTGGGACTAAACCCACACCTTCCTCAGAAGAGGCGGGCGACCGGCACGAGTTCAAATCCTCCTAGAGTCTAAATTCATATATTTTTATCTGATTATCATGACTTTCCTATAGATCGTCGGTGAAGGATTAAGCAATGAGAATCACTGAATCATCGGTGAAAATCTCGTCAACACGATTCGCGGAGTATTGCTACTAAAATTGCTGAATGATTCATGATAAAAGGATCGTAAATCCATTGAGTAAATCATCTCCGATTGATCGACGAACAAGTCGTCGTTGAAAAGAGGATGATCCACCGAGAGACTAGTTATCACCTCCTGAGAGCGTACCAGATGCGATGAAGAGTCTCTTCTTGTTGCATGGACTTGAGGATGAAGTTCTCTAACATGTGCATCACCTCCATCCAGCTCCTCTCCGTCGGGTGACAACCGTCAAAGAGCTGCAAAATCGCCACTTTTTCACTCCGTCAGGTGACAGCTGCTGGAGATGACTCGACGACCCATTTCATTAATCTCTAGACTTTGCGAGAAGATCTAGAGATTATCCACATCATCTTTGTCCAAAGAGAGTCTTTGAGGCCGTAGACACTACACGATGATCTTCTCGAACGCTCAGGATTCTAGTGCATCGCCGATGCATCGTCGTCGCGATGCTGGAACCTTGTTTTTCTACTTTCAACTTAATTTACGCTTCATTTAGTGATAGTTTTTGTAATTTTAATTTACTAAACTATACTTTATTTTATTACGATTCTTTCGACTTTTACAAATCTTAATTTGATCAATTAAATCACTTGTAATCGCTTACATAAGAATCACCGGGTGAAATTCTGTTTTTGTCCAATTCACGTTCGTTAGGCACTAATGTAACCTCGACGTCTGCACCCTTATTTTTCTTTTTCATAAATTTTAAATATATTTCTTTTTTATTTCCTAATATAAAATTCATATAAAGTCATATTCATTGAGAAAAATTCTAAATAATTACTAGATAATATAGTACATCTTTGTGATTGACTTGAAAAATTACTACTATTTTTAGAAGTTTTATTGAATTATAATTGATATATTTATTTAGAAATACTTTTAAATATCCAAAAATTTATATTTTCTAGTTTTATAAAGTTAAGATTTACGTAATTTAATATACAACGACTGAGTCATGTCAGTCATCTCACCTCATCTTCATTATGAGATTCAGACGATCTACCTCGTCTTTGTCCTCTTCCTCTGCCACAGCCACGTCCACGACCACGACCTTAGCTTGAAGAATCTTTTCTAGAATTGACCTTCTCCTTGCCCATGGCTCTTGCAAGAAGAGCCTGTTGTTCTTCTTTGACTTTATGATTATGAAGACATTACTCTTGGACAACCAAAGAGTCAATCACTTCTCTAGGTATCATCTTATTCATGTCTCCAAACTATGCCATCATGAGAGTCAAAGAATCAAATTTAGGAGTAGATCTGAGGGATTTATAGACTGCCTCCTTCTCTGTGATTGTTTCACCAAGGCATCTCAATTCAAAAATAATCTTAGTAAACTAGGCAGCATAGTCAGCAACATGCTCCTCCTTTCTCGTGCTAAGAAGCTCAAGGTCTTGTCAGAGTCCCTACACTTTGGACTCAATGACACGGTTGACTTCAACATGTACAACACGTAGAGCCTCCCAGTTCTACTTTGTAGTCTTCTTGGTGTCAAGGTATCCTAGGAAATCCTCCGATGCAGTGCTGAAGATCGTCGACAGCACCTGCCTGTCCTTCTTCCTTAGAACGTCGTCATTCTCAGTGGCATCCCACCATACTTGTGCCTCCAAATAACACTCCATCATCATCAACCATTGATGATCGTTCGTCTTGGTTAGACATAGCAATTTTGGCATCACCACTGTCTTTGAGACAGAAGCAATATTCCTCAGCATCTTCATAGGTTCCTAGAATCAACTGCTCTAATACCAATTGTTGGCGCTGAAGTCCTTGCCTACTTCTTGTTGAAGACCTGGAGGCCCTGGAAGAAGAACCAAGAAAAGGGAAAAAGAGGAGAGGCACCAATTCTTCAAAAAACTTTAGAAGAACACACATAAAACTCATGGTCCCTTTTTTTGGTTCTTATATAACCCAAAGACAATTGAAAAATAACTACAAAATGTGAGCCAACATAGATGACATCATCACCCTATTCAGAGGAAAAACAAATGGACAAGATTTAAGAAAAACACTGTGAGACTCATTCATAAGAAAACCACCCCGAAAATTCTCCCATTCCTCCATGTGTGGAGGAGAGAGAGCGAGATCAGAGCCTTCAAAAACTATTGATCTCTATTATATTATTTTTAATCATCTGAATAATTTAACATGTATCTTATACTCTTTGATGTCTAGTTTTACAGATATATTCTCTTCACCCTAATCTTTTGTTAGATGTTTAGCAACTTAGGTCCTCATTACTTTTTGTTAGATAAGTTAGGATCTCATTATTGTAGTCCCTCTTTTATTTGGGCCCTTAAGTGAGTTATTTATGGACTACTTAATGGGCTCTCTCTTTCTTTCTTCAAAATAAGAG